AATGTATAATATCAATATTGTACTCTGCAATGTACTTATACATTATGTAGTAGTCATGTGACATAAACGACGATTTTCCAATGATTTTATCTGTCACTGGACACACAATCCAAACCTACTCTTGTCCGGTCTGCGCATAGTTATAAAAAATTCCGCTGAATTTTGAAATCATCACAATTGTATAGCATATAGATCACAGTTGTTAATAAACAGGACGTGTGCCATAGGTCTTTAAATTGTAAATTATAATTACTTACGGTTGTACATATTCCGTCACGAGTACCCACTTGTATTTGTTAGCAACAAAATTTGGGCGCGACTTTGATACCAACAATTTTTGAAATTACTTGAGAAAGATGTTGAAAGTATAAATATTAACCTTAGGTAATAGGTATATAAACGTGTTATAAGATTAGTTCAGTCAACCGTTGCCGACAGCACTCTATGTCAGCGGTTTTTTTTTCAAAAATAACAATCTACACTCCTATTATCATTACCCTTTTCCCAGCCATTTATAATTATCTACGACCGCGGGTATGAAATATTAATACCAATTACCAAGCGCAAAACCTACAATAATTAAATACAATATTAATACAATAATCTAGATATAGTATTACACCTGTATTTTGAATTGTAGCGGATTAGAAGTGGTTTTCCGTCGAGTGGCGACATCTACATGGACTAACCGGTTATGTACAAGCCGATCACCCTTTCACAAACTAATGTTAGTACCGCAGTTAGGTTAGGGTTCACTGAACGTATATAACACGGTTCTTAAGTTCTAGACACGTCTAGACGGTTTTTAATTCTTTTGGTTAGTATTTTACAAATCACCTTGCGAAAAACATCGTTAAATTTGAATTCCTCTGACGATTCTTAAACAAATAATCGAGTTGATTGTTTAACGATTTAATTAATAATGTACGTTATGCAGCTGCAGTATTGATATTAATTTATTATTTATTGCATTGGAGTCGCGTCTAATCTAATGTATAAATGAGAATCATTAAAAGTTTAAAATATTACATCTTCATGTCAATACAATTTCTATAAATTACTACACTCCTGTAATCCTCTAATCGGTATATAGTTCGAGTTGTACCGGTCTCAGGTATGTAAAACTACATACATTATTGCGCCATATTATATTTATTTTTTATTACACAAATATTATATTAATAACATTTTTTAACCAAATGATGTATGCATATATCGATTAAGTTTATTCGTTATAATTTTTAATTATATTAAAATTAAAATTAAGAAATTGTATAGCCAACCTAGATGGCTAGATGGAAAATTATGCAACTTCATTACCTATTCCGTCATCAGTACCTAGTTTAGTAGTATACCTATAGGTATTTGGATGAATATATAATATAAATTATTTTTAATTAAATCCAATAATTATATCAATACTTGTTTTTTAACTAATCCCACCAAAAACATATATACACGTCATAATAGATTGGTATCTAAAGAATATATATTATATGTATATATATCGATATGATTTATATTTTATAAAAGATACTAAAATTATTATCTAACATATTTTGATATTTATTTAAAATGCATCCTATATTACTGTCAACGGTCTACCTGCATAGGTACATATTTTAATAATTAACATTTATTTTAGCCAAATATACATTTAAATTACGATTTATTTTTAAACTTAAAAGTAACCACTTAAATATAACACTTTAAATTTAAATGACAGAATTTTCATTACATTAACATATTGATTAAACATGAACATTGTAATTACTAAATATTAAATTACATAATTTATAATTAACAATAAAACCAATAATGCTATTACTCTCATTAACATTTTACTGATGTTATAACCTCGATTTATATTGCGTTTGCATTTGTATATTTATATATTATATTATTATGTATTTTATTGTTTATTGGTATTTATTTGTATAATATACCTATAAATACTTTATCAATGTAGTCGTGTAAGGAAAACTCTTTTTATATTTAAATAATTCCAGAAGGTAAAACATTGTTTTTTTTTTTAAATAACTGAAACTTACTGTCATAATATCTATATATATATATATATATATATATATATATTTATACCATATTAGTGTATAAGTTAATGAGTCACATTGTATCAAATACATTTATTAACGAGTACCTACTAATTGAAATGCATAATTAATTGCTTTAAACACTTACTGTATAATTTATAATTAATGCTCATTGCTTAATAATTTTCAAACAATATAATACACATATGTGTTATATATTGTTATAACTGATTCTAGTTTTAACTCTTTTAAGTATTATTTATAATATATTATAAATTTTAAGCGGAGCGATGAATATATTGGTTTTATAATAAGATTTGTATGTTTCTTACTATTTGTATGTTTCTTATATAATTATTATGGAGTAGTAAAAATGTTTTTTATTTAAATTCGATGGCAATATCTGACAGAAAATTGAATATAAAAGGGAGTTAAAAATAAGGGGTAAGTAAAAGATTCATAGCACTTTTTAGTAATTAAAAATTAACTAAAGAAATTAGAATATTTACGAATAATTAATTTGTAGTAAAACCGACCTTGTAATACCTAATTCAAAAACGAATTACAATAGGTAGTTGACATGTTCGCCAAATATTAATACCTAATGTGATTTTAAAAAAAAATTATTTTTTTTAAAGTTATCAATAAATTGACTAAAAGTTTGAAAATTATATTAAAATAAATACAAATTTGAGCAAAAACTTTTATAAATGTTTGAGGTTAGGTTTTCATAAAATTCCTGAAAATTTTAAAATAATATTTTTATTAAAAATGTTCATAATTTTTATTATTTTTATTTTATACCTAAATTTTGAAATTTTAATACAAGATTCCATGTATTATATTTTTTTGATAAGAATAAAAAATAAAAATTGTTAGTAATTTCATAAGTATTTTTATTTGAACGTCTGAAGTTTAAATGTTGCCTATATTTCATGTTCATGATTAAAATAACGAATTCTAATCAAACTATTTTAGTTTGTATTCTGTAAACCATAAATTAATAATTCTAAAAAATTTTAAACACTCCAGTATTACTTAAATTATCATTTTTAATTCTCAATTAAATTTTAAAAATATTAAGGCTAAATTTAAAGTATTATAAGAATTTTAGATTTTCGAATTTTTTTTATGCGTTGTTATAATATATTTTTCTTCTTGATTAAAAAGCAACGTTTATTACATTATTCCACATAAATTATTCATATAACAATGTAAGTGTATTAAATATCAGTAGGTACATAAAAAGGAAAAAATGATTTTTTTATAACCGTGTTTGAAGTTTAAATTTTGTTTAAATTACGATTTCAAAATATTTTATAGTTAAAAATATATACATTATTCAAATAGTTTGAAGTTTAAGCATTGAATACAAGGTTTCTTATGAGTATTTTTGTTACAAAAAATTAAAAATTAATTCAATTTACAGTATTACCTACTATATTATTTTAAAATAAATTACAGTGGCTTGGTATGTCGCGGTAGTTGGTCTCGGTTTCTAATAATAATATGTTCTGAGGTCAAGTATCGGCCAGAATGGCTAGCTCTCAGATGGGTTCTTAGTGACGAATCCAAAAATAATGCAAACTTATACACAACACATGTTCCAATCTTACAAACAAAACCCTATACAAGAAAAACGGGCATGACTGATTTCGACCAAAAATGTACCCTTCCCTTTTCGGCCGATTCATTTTTCGACCAAATTTAAAAAAGTCCGATTCTCTTTCGACCAAGATCGTACTCTTCTCTTTTCAAACAAAACAAAAATTTATATAATATATTTAAAAAAAAAAAAAATAATTTCTTTATATTTTTTGTAAAATTATGGAAATTTTATAATAATATGATTTTAAAAATGATTAAAAATATAAGTTGCATAAAATGTTATAAAGTAGGTAATTAATAAAATATAGAGTATTATTAAAAATGTAAAAATACCTATATATTAACATTATTATTTTTATGTTAATATGTCACAAACTTTTTCATATGGTTTAAATTGATTTATAAATTATAAAAAAAAATTAAATTTTCAAAATTACCTATTTTATATTACTATTATACTTAATAATTATTGATAAAAACCGTAAATAATTATTTTATTTTTTTATGTAATATAATTATACATATTGTGATATATTAACATAAAAATAATGTTAATATATAGATATTCTTATATTTTAAATAATTTTCTACATTTTATTTTACAACATTTTATGCAACTTATACTTTTAATCATTTTCAAAATCGTATAATTATATAATTTTATAAAAATTATATACAAATTACAAATTATTTTGTTTTTTTTTTTTTTTTATGTATATTCTATAAATTTTTGTTTTGGTCGAAAAAGGAAGAGTACGATTATAATCAAAAAGTGAATTGGCCGAAAAGGAAAGGGTACGTTTTTGTTCGAAAACGATTAGGTTAGGTTAAAGTTAGCCCAAAAAAACCTACTGTACCTTTCTACAGCTATTAGTCTTAGTTACCAGGATTAAAAGATCAATAAAAAATAAATAAATAATTTACAATCTTAATTAATAGCTAAATTAAGTATGATGAAATATACTTATATAACACTTTTAAGTTAAAAGACTGTTTTTGGTCAGGACTATATTTCATCATAATGTGTAATTATTACTGAATTCAAATTTAACACAATTTCCACTACAGTAGCCTACTCAATGATTATATTAAGTTACAATCATAGGTATATTCGACTCCTACTGTAAAATAGAGCGCAATACTATTTTTTGTATCTATAATAGTCTTAGACCTAAACTTAGTAATAATTGACAAATTTTTATCAAATCTAAAACCTATAAAAAATGAGAACCCGCGTTTCTTCTTATCGCTGTTTGTTATTATAAAAAATAAAGACAAATATATAAATGTACATTATTATTGTATTTATATAATATTGAAGATAACGGGTCAGTTATTTTTTCATTTAACGTTGGGCGTCTTCTACTATTTAATATCTTCCCAACTCGACTGTTCAACTATTGAGTTTTACTAGTTTCAGACTTGCAGTGGTTTCTGATGGTTGTTCTGAAGTGGTCGTCCGGTCCGCCGGTTGCAAATGTATATATAATTTGATACTTTGTGCTATATATCTATAAATAATAATATAATAATAGTGTGTATGGTGGTTACAACTACTTTTAAGTGCTTATAATTCTACATTAATTACTTTTATGATGAATTTTATGTATACTTTGATCATTGGTCTTTGAATGAATTGAAATCGATTTTATTATTTTGTTATAAGTTTCAACGCTGCAGCATTTATAGTACATTAAAAATTATATGTAGGTACATATTATTTACAATAGTTTATTATAATATAATGAATATTGGATACATAATATGGATTACAATTCACGAGTCCAAGGTAAACCATGTATTTGGGTATTTTTTTAATGATAAATCGAAAGTATTAAATTAATATTTAAATTAAATTTAAAAATAATCTAACAATCTAGACATTACTAAAAAAATTATAAATCTATAGGTTAAGCCGAAACTAAAAAAAAAAAAAAAATAATAATAAAAATGCCTAACAAAATTAATCATAAATTATTAATTATTATTACGTATTACGTATTGCTACGTAAAATTGGCATTTCCTCTAATTAAAATCAAGAGACTTCAAATTGTAGTGTATACTAGTAAAAAAATAACACCCATGTATTTCCTAGGATTAGTGTGTCTGTTAAACATAAATTTAATATTACAACACATATTATTTAGAAATAATCTATAAGAATGGTTTTTAGATTTATTTTTTTGGAGTTCGAAGTATTTTGTTTACATGGATTGTTTTGTTTAAAATATAAGCTACTTCAGTCACAAATATGCTAATTGTCGTAGTATGCAAGAATTAATTAGTTACCTACTTACATAATTATTACGGTTGAAGTACATAATTATAGATAGTAATTTGTATTGTACATTTATAGTGATTGTATAATAATTATTGAGTTATTAATAATAGCTCCTAAGAATAATATTATAAGACAGCCAACAAACAAGCGATACAATTTCAAAAATAAATTAATATATATTATATAGATAATTTATCGTGATGAAAAATATATAACCTGTTAACAAATCCTAAACAATCATTGATATCATATTATTATTACAAGAAAAAAAATAAATATTTTTAGCAAATGGTCGTCAAATTTACGAGGATTATATTAATAGGTAATGAAAAAAAATAATATTGTATTTTGACTTTAACTACATTTTTTATTAAGCTATCTATCTAACTGTACAATTTTAAAAATAATTTTTATCGTATGAAAAAAATGTAGGTACAATAAAAATTATAGATATTAATGATACTATAGAAATTAAGATTTATACTAATTTTATTCAACCATAGTATCTAATGTTATTAGTTGGTATTTAATTTAATTATTATAAGTTATTGATATGAGTTATATGACATTATGTTATTATCGTTTATAACTAAATTACGATTATTTCTTAAATAGTTTTTAAGATAAATGTTGAAATGTAGTAAATATATAATTGAGACATTAATTAATATTATATTTACAGAAAATACTCAAAATATCAAGTTGATAGTTCAAAATTAAATAAAACAAAATGGACAAAAGGCTATACAATGTAAACATGTTAGGCTTATCCTTCATGTTTATTTTAGCTGCAAATCAGGCAATGGGAAATATCGCAGTAAATATTTTACAAATATTATATATTTTTTTTTTTTTTTTTTTTGGTTGGAAATATATTTTGAGGAATAAGTTTTTAACTGTTTAAAATGCCTATGTTACATGCCTATGTACATGGCTGCCATCATAAGCCCGCATAATGAAATGCTAAATCACTAATACGGATATGTTATGTTAAAAATAATAATAATAATATCCAGTGATCAATAAAAACCCATTTTAACCTATTTAATTGAATAATGCTTGATACTAATTTATACAATATTCATTTTAGAAAACTTTACTGAGTAGTGTACAACGTGACTATCCTTTATTTACTGGCGATGGTTATATTAGTTTATCAATTACCTATTTTGTGTTTGCATTGGCTAATTGGATTGCTCCATCAATTGTCAATTTTACAGGATGTAAGATAGCTATGATTATTGGTGCAATTTGTTACACGTTTGTATTTATTTACATATTATTATTATAATTTATAATACACTGGCATATTTTAAAAACTTTTCTATCAGTACTAATAATGTTATTATTGGGTTTAGTATGTTTTTAGTATCATATCTCTGGTTGACTACATTTATATTATATTTTATGTCTGCAATACAAGGTTTTGGTGCTGCAATTCTTTGGACAGCACAAGGAACATACTTAACATTAAACTCTGATCCATCTACAATGTCTAGAAATACTGGAATATTTTGGACGATATCGAATATAAGGTTTTGGATTTAATACATAATACGCCTTTTATAATTTAAATATTAAATACTTATGTATACAATTTATTATTTATAATTTGAATTATCTATGTATAATTTTTGTTTATGTTTTAAGTATGCTTTTAGGAAATGCATTTGTATCTTATGCTCTTCGCGATAAAAGTGATTTTGATGATTCAACCAGAACATTTATATACATTGTACTCATAATTGTAAGTGCATTTGGTACATTATTATTCTTATTTTTACGATCTCCTGTAAACCAAGAAGGAACATTGAATGAACGAGTAGAAATAATAAGTTTTACTCAGGAAATAAAAAATACCATGTCGCTTTTTTTAACCAAAGACATGCGTTTATTAAACATAACATTTTTTTTTACAGGTTAGTAGAAAAATTATTTTCAAATGTGCATATTATTTTTTTATTTTTTGTTATTTTTTCTATATTTTTTGTATAGGTTTAAGTTTGTCTTTCTATTCTAGTGTCTATAGTTCAAGTATTGGATTTACTAAAAGAATGGGTTTCAATAGTAAACAGCTTGTGGGATTATCCGGATTATTTATTGGCATTGGTGAAATTCTAGGTTAAAACATTTAATTATTACTTTGAAGATTTAAATACATTCAAGCTTTTATAGGAGGTTTAATATTCAGTATTTTGGGCCAAAAGACTTCTGACAACAACACTACCATAAAAGGATTAAGTCATTCAGCAGTAATTGCAATAGGTTTTATTGTAAATATTATTACATATGGTTTGATAATTATAAATTTACCAGACGACTCACCATTCGGTGATACAACTGCATCTTCGTATATTAATCCTAAGTAATTTATAAACATTTTTTTAACATATATTATTATCATATAATATGCATATATATATAATAAGCACATTCATAGTTATATACAATTTCAGCCAGTACCTAGCAATTTTCTGCAGCTTTCTTTTGGGTTTTGGCGATAGTTGTTTTAATACTCAACTTTACAATATAATTGGACTAAAGTATCCTGAAAATAGTGCTCCACCCATGGCTTTGTTCAATTCCATGGAGGTATTTGCTTAGTATTTAATAATTTTATTACCTGTAATATTTATAAATATTAACTATTTTATTGTTTTTTAGTCAATAGCAGCTTCTATAAGTTTTTACTATAGTAATTATTTTGGAATACATTTCCAACTAATATTATTGATGGTCTCATCAACTGTAGCTGCTTTAGCATTCTTCAAAGTGGAAGAATCTTCTGATAAACGGTGAGATAAGTTTTGTATCATTCAAAAAGCGTACTATTATATCATTATTATAAATTATTAGATGACATCTTTCATGAACTTATTATTCCGATACTTTTTCATTTGTGTTGGGTACATTCAATTTTAACTTTTGTAGGATCAGTACTTTGGGATCTTGATCTACATATTTGATTTAATTGATTAATTACTAATAAGAAAAATTAAAATAATATCTTTGTACTGAGTTAATTTTATTATTATTATCAAATACCTACATATACTTTAATAGATATTTAATATTTGCTTGATTAAAAAAATATATGGATCATGAAAAACTTAGGTAATCATTTGATTAGTTTTATTAAATTATTAAATCAATTAACTTTTTGATCTAATAACCTACAGGTTATTACTCATAAAGTGAAGTGAAAAATATTTTAGTATGCCTTCAAAATTAAATGATGGATGGAGATAAGAATCTTAATTATAATAGGTGATTAAGGTTTGGTAATAGTTTATTAGAATACTTTTTACTATTTTTACTACATTAAATAACAATATAATTTTAGAATATAAAATATTCTTTAACATTCGTCATTAAAGTTAACTTAAAATATTTTTGTTAATATATGTGATTTGATATAGTAGATTTTTCTCCAATTTTTTTTGTTGAAAAGTATTAATAATTAATTATTAACCACGAGTTAAATTATATTATTATACTAAATATTTGTTCTAAAATTGCTTATTTAGTATTTATACAAATATCTAATTCCATACAAACGGTTAATACTATTTTTACCAATTTTTTCCATGCAGCATACACTTATTAATTATTACTCTTCTAGTCTTAAGCTATTTATAATTATTAAATATTTAAATTTATTATAGTTTAATTTAAGATACAATCAACGTACATCAAGATCAATATTCTCACTTACTCTCGGTTATGTGTTTACTCACTATTTAATATAACATTTATAGTGCTAATGTGCCAAATATATTTATTATTTTTAATAAATTAAAAATATTTATCTACAGAAATGTACTTACGTATGTATTTGTTCTATTTGTTTACAATTTGTTATTATTTTTTTTTTTTTAGATATTATGAAGCAATTTAAGATTTAAACATTCGTTAAATGAAATATTTGACTCATCATTGTAAGTCAAGTGAATCGTTCATAATTCCTATCATATTTTGTAAAGAAATATATGACTTATATACCTAGCGTGTAATAAAAATAAAAATCTCAAATTTGTTATATCAAAGATATAAATAGTCAGCAGTCAAGTAATATTTCATAGAATTATTAAATTTATTATATTAAAGTACTAAGTAAAATACTAAAAAAATATACCCTAATATTATATGGGAGTTAAATTATATTTTAGACTTACAATTTTAAATTGTACTACCTATAATAATTGCTATTAGTTTTAGTAATAGTATGTATAATATATCTAGTCATATTCCACTTTATCTAAATCATGAGCATTCAATTCATAATTTAATAGTTATTATGTTGTCTAGTCATTATTAGATAAATAAAATATTGAGAATAATATAAATATATGAGAATTTATACATTTTATATTAATTATGTGATACATTTAAAATTAGATTTTTTAGTTATACGTTAATAATGTATAATTTTATTATTGATGTAAAAATATTATATCAAAGGTCTTGAAAAAATTGTAATTTATGTTTTTTTTTTTGTATTTACATTAAAAGTTGTTATCTTATAAACAGCGAAACGATTTTAAATGCTTAATTATTGCATTAATTTATGAATATTATAATATAAATTATAACTGAATGAATGCTATTTAAGCATATATATATATATATATATAATTATATATGTATAACAATTAATATTATACAGAATATATATTAACCATGCAAAAAGGCCTAACAAATTTAGTTCGTTTTATAATCAACATACCATAGAAAAAACCAATTTTAAAAAGCGAATACCTTCTGTTACCTAATTTAATAATTTCAATTAAATAATAGAATATTAAACCTATAATAAATCAAAAAAAAAAAAATGTTTAGTATAATTTAATGCACTAAATTTTATTATATATTTTATTTTGTGCGAAGCAATAAATGTATTAGTTTTACATTGATGAACTTTTTACTATTATTATTTTGTGTGTGTGTGTGTCTGTCATAACTTTTTAAAGAAATAAAACTGATTAGATTTTTGATGTTGAGGGTTATTTTTGATTGCTAATTAAATTTATTTGATACTTTTGGAAATAGCTATGTAGAGATAAAACACTTAGAAAACTTTGTTTAATTTCGCTTAAGAGTTAAGCTATCTGTTAAATAATTAATAAAAATATCTTCGGCTAAAACTTCAAGTAATTGGAATTCATATGATAAATTTATCATATATTATTATATATATTTTTGTATTATATTATTATATTATAATATTATGATTATATTATTTACCTTAACGTTTAATATAATCAACATTTTAATATTATTTTATGTGACTTATTAATTTTAAACGTAGTTTTACCTTTTGTAAACAATTATAATGTTCGCATCATATTAGAGTCTACGAGATCAGTACATAGTGACCATAGTGCTATATATATGAAATGTAATGCTATGTTTCTAATAAATAACAAAAAAAATATTAAATAGTAATAAATAATTATTTTATTTTGTCTTGAACTTTTAAAGCTGAAACAGTCAGCATTCAGTTCAATGATTTATTACCTTACAGTCTATAAATTAGACAAACAAAAAAACTAAATATTTAGGTACCAATACGTCGTGTACTAACAATGATATGGAAATGCAACTGAATGCGTAACTAATTAGTTGACAATATTTTGATGTTTATTTATTTATTTTTTACTTTTTATTTGCCATCAATAAAATGTACCTATAATATATTCTTACGGTGAAATAAAATATATTGTTTAGAAATTTAGTTATTCATTTTATAGTTTAAAATGTTTAAATTTTTATTTATCAATATAATGTCTAAATTTATTCTTATGTTATTCATAAGTTGTTTAATACACACTTAAGTATAATAATAATTAATAATATTATATACGTGGAGGTATTTTAAAAGATTTTACTTTCCACGTAGAATTAACTATAGACGAATTCATAACAATCGGTTCTTATGCATATGATAATATGATACATTGATATGTATATGTAGAATTTAAAAATATATTTTTTTTGAGTTGGTACCGTTTTTTTGGTCAAAAGAATTTGTACAATTCAAAGTTTATTGAAACTATTTCAAGTTTACATGTAGGGATTAAATATCATATTTGTAAAAACATGATTGTATTCATACATGATTCAAATGGGCCTAATTGATTAGGTACCAAATAAATATAACATTAATAACATTTATTAAGATTTTTATATTCATTGTATATAGATTTATTCTAATGTTGCGGGAAGGGAGGAGAATGAACTATAAATTTAAAATATCACGTTTTACATATTTTTTATTCATGAATATAAATGATATTCATTATATTATAAACATGTCAAATTGAAAACAATTAATCTGTAAAATACATGTTTAAATTACAGGTAAATACATTTATATTTTATCTTAAAAATTCAGTCACTGTCATCGTTACAAAATTACAACTTTTAACTTTCTTATTCTCTTCATCCATTTATAATTCTTTTATATAAATGTTTGGATAAATTTTTAAATTCTTCAAAGTCTAAAGATTACCAAATTTACTCTCGATGTTCAAACTCCAAATATTTTGCAGATTATTTTATTCATTTTGTGTTCACTATTATACTTATCAATATATTTTTTAATAATTTTAATCGGGAAAAAAATGTTTCTACTAGTACAGTTCGTACATATAAGAAAAAGATATAAACGTAATGATCTTTCGACTAAAATATAAGTGTACTTTTGGTACACTATTAGTTATATTTGATTCAATTATTAGAAAAGTGTTTTCATACTTATTTTCAATCGATATAATCAATAATAGACACTAACGCAATACGCAAAACTAAAAAAGTAAAAACTGTTCAAATTAATTTTTAAAATCTAAATTTTAATTTATAGTCTTCATTATTAGCTTTTTTTATGATATTACTTTTATAATAATCATATTAGCCCCTAATATTTTGGAACACAATTTTAAGATTATTAATTAAATTAATTAAATATATTATATTTTATATCTATATAATATGTCCTCTGATATGGACTAATATCTTTCCAAATATTTAGCCATTACGTAAACATTAGAATATCATGTGCTAAAAACAATAGAGCAAACAATAGAGCATTAAAACAAAGATTTTAAAACGTTGGACTAAATTTGAATCTGTGCTCACATATTTTGTTATTGTTATTATATATTATCAGATACAACTGAAATAAAATGAAACGTAAACAAATTCTAAACTTTTTGTCATTTATAGGAACTAGAATTCGAAAAAGAAAGAATAATCAAAAATATTAGATATTTCTAAATTTCTGTGCTATTTTATTAGGTACTACGGTTCAAATTTTAAGCCAGGCTTCACATTCAAATCATATCATTTATTTAGGTTTCAGATACCGAGTGCTTTCGGATAAATTCACGCGTTCAAACATCGGAATACAAAATTTAAACAGACTTTTAGATGTTAATAGCAGTTATTACTTAAATTAATATGGATTAACACGAGTGTGACTTGTAGACCGTAGTTCAGTGAAAAATGTTCCTAAAAAAGTATTGAAAGAGTGATCAAATAAATTACTTAAGTATATACCATAAGTCATAACTCATGAGAAAAAAATTTCTCGAATATTATTATGTAGTGATTATTATTATTATTAATATATTTTGCTTACGTCGTCGGCGTGCGTCGGCCGACGATTCGGACCGACCACGACGACAACGAAGTCTTATTATCATAATTTTATTATCAGATGACAGAGAAGAGAAGTAATTCTGTGTCATTCTGTGCCATTCGCTTACTCTATGTTATGTAGTGTGTGCACGATAAAAATAAATGTTTTCTTGTTTTATTCTTATTTTCTTTTCTTTTTTTTTTTTTAAATGAATGCAACCACTCTCCCATCAGTTTTCAGAAGTGGAATACAACTGAATAAGTTATGAATGTGTAATTTTTTTGTTTACCTATATGAAAGTGAATTTTAACCAGTATGCCAAAAAAATAAATGCGAATGTCGGAACTGTTACATGATCCCGTGGTAACATGAATGAAAATAACAGAAATAACACTACCACGATGAAGGACTTGAGAATGAATACTTCATTTACACTTCATTGATGAACATCAACTTGAGGACGATGTACAAAGAATTAACGTTGAAACGAATAATAAATCGAAGATACACAGGAAGAACATGTCAATATACCGAATGTCAACATAGGTAATATAAATGGGAATACACTACTTAGTTCTTTCGTTGTCACAAAACACCATGCTTAATGGAGATGTTGAAGTCACAACAGGCTAATAAATCATCGAACGATATGATGATTGCCAAAAAAATCTATACCAGTTTTTAATGGTCTAACAACGGGTGCGCAAGCTCAAGATTGGCTACGGACAGTGAATGGTGTCGCAAACCTACATCGTTGGCCAGATAATTTTAAACTTCAGTCCGCGCGTGCAAATTTAGATGGTGCCGCCCGTCATTGGTTTATGACGAGAGATAATGAGGACTGAGCTGATTTTGAAAGTCGATTTCGCAAAACGTTTATCGGTGTGGTGATGACAGGCGATTACTGAAAAGAGATGTATCGCAAAGTCCAAATACGAAACGAGAATTTACGCGAATATTTTCATGAGAAAATGTATCTATGCAAGCAAGTAGGTCTATCTTTCTACGAATCGAAAATACAAGTTCTGGAAGGTCTATATGTGAAGGATTTGAATATGTATCTATTGGGCCGTGGTCATCAAGACGAAGACGACCTATTGGACGACATGGTCGAGTATAAACGATTAAATATATCACGTGCTATACGTTTTGGCCAATTGTCAGTCAATAGTAAAGACAGCGGTTCACATACGCCTATACCACGACAGCAGAATGATACGCCTACACCTATACTAACGAAGAAAGAAAGTTCGAACAATGCAACAACAGATTGCGAGGGAAAACCAACATTCAGATCTTATTTTAATTGCAGCTCGAAAGCACATATTTCACCCTAGTGTAGTAGTGTCCTAAACCAAAAAGAAAAAAAGGAGCATGTTATGAATGTGGTTAGATGTCACACCAAATTGGAAGTTGTTCAGGACGTACGAGACAAAATCCCGATGCATCAACAAGAAAACAGCCAGGGCCAATGAACATCGACGTAACACTGTAACAGATGACAACGT